TGGGGAGCTCCGGTGTTATTTGTTAAGAAGAAGGATGGATCAATGCGTCTCTGTATTGATTATCGACAGCTTAATAAGGTGACCATCAAGAACAAGTATCCCCTTCCGCGCATTGATGACTTGTTTGATCAACTAAAAGGAGCTTCGGTATTTTCGAAGATCGATCTACGTTTGGGTTATCATCAATTGAAGATCCAGGAGAAACATATTCCGAAGACGGCTTTCAGAACGAGATATGGTCATTATGAATTCATCGTAATGCCATTCGGAGTAACGAATGCACCCGCTGCTTTCATGGATCTCATGAACAGGATTTTTCAGCCCTATCTGGACCAGTTTGTTGTTGTCTTTATTGATGACATACTGGTTTACTCGAAGTCCATTGAAGAGCACAGCACACATCTGAGGCTAGTTTTGCAAATTCTCAGGGATAAAATCTCTATGCGAAATTGTCCAAATGTGAATTTTGGCTAAACGAAGTAATTTTCTTGGGGCATGTGATCTCAGCGGTTGGGATTAGAGTAGACCCTCAGAAGGTTAAAGCTATAATGGATTGGGAAGTTCCTAAGAATGTGTCTGAAGTTCGGAGTTTTCTTGGACTTGCCGGTTACTATCGAAGATTCGTTAAGAATTTTTCGATGATTGTGCTGCCTCTAACAAAGTTAATGAGAAAGAACGTACCATTTGTTTGGACTTCTGAATGTCAAGAAAGTTTCGAAGCTTTAAGAGAATTCTGACGGAAACTCCGATATTAGTTCAACCGGAATCTGGCAAGAATTTTGTAATATACAGTGATGCATCCCAACGGGTTGGGGTGTGTATTAATGCAAGAAGGAAATGTGGTAGCGTATGCATCGAGACAGTTGAAACCACATGAAAGGAATTACCCCACTCATGATTTAGAAATGGCTGCTGTAGTATTCGCTCTCAGGATTTGGCGTCATTATCTTTATGGGGAGCGTTGTTACTTATATACGGATCATAAGAGCCTAAAGTACCTGATGACTCAAAAGAATTGAATTTGAGGCAACGTAGATGGTAGAGTTTTTAAAAGATTATGATGTGATAATTGACTATCACCCGGAAAGGCTAATGTGGTAGCAGATACTCTGAGTAGAAGACGTTTGCAGCTTTTCGAGCTATGGATGCAAGATTATCTTTAACGGGAGACGGTGGTCTTTGTGCAGAATTAACCCTTAAACCAACATGGTTGGAACGAATAGGAGAATTGCAAAGTAAGGATGAATGTGTTTGAAAAGAATTGAACAAGTAAAGAACAAAGAGATTAAAAACTTTGAGATTAAGTCAGATGGAAATCTATATTGTAAAGGAAGAATTGTAATACCCGACAATGACGACTTGAAGAAAGAAATTTTAACAGAGGCTCATTGCAGTTCGTTAACGATGCACCCGGGTGGAACCAAGATGTATATGGATTTGAAGGATCGATTTTGGTGGTCAGGGATGAAACGAAGCATCACCGAATTTGTGTCTAAGTGTTTGATATGTCAACAAGTCAAAGCCAGCATCAAGTTCCATCAGGATTATTGCAACCGCTTTTTATTCCTCAATGGAAATGGGAAAATGTTACGATGGATTTTGTTTCGGGGTACCCTTGACTCCGAACAAAAGAGAATCAATCTGGGTAATTGTTGATCGATGAACTAAGTCAGCGCATTTCCTTCCGTTAGAACGGATTTCTCTATGGAAAGTATGCAGAGCTGTATATTAGAGAAGTTATTAGACTGCATGGAGTACCTGTTTCTATAGTCTCTGATCGAGACCCTCGATTCACTTCTAGATTCTGGAAATCTTTGCATGGAGCGTTGGGGACTCGTTTAAACTTTAGTACGACTTTTCATCCTCAGACTGATGGGCAATCAGAGAGAACTATTCAGATATTGGAAGATATGTTGAGAGCATGCGTAATGGAATTTAAAGGATCATGGGAAAAGTATTTACCGCTGGCAGAGTTCGCTTACAACAATAGTTATCAGTCTAGTATAAAGATGGCCCCATATGAAGCATATATGGAAGAAAATGTCGTACTCCATTAAATTGATGAAAAAGACCGAAGTTCGAGATGTAGAACAGAAAGTAACCTCAAAGTGGCCTCTGATCGGCAAAAGTCCTATTCTGATCTTAAAAGAAAGGAGATTGAATTGAAGTTGGGATAAAGTGTTTTTAAAGGTATCTCCATGGAAGAATATGTTGAGGTTTGGTCGGAAAGGAAAGTTAAGTCCCGGTTTATTGGACCATATGAGATTGTAAAAAGGGTGGGACCCGTAGCATACCAATTGACTTTACCACCAGAAATGGAAAAGATTCACAATGTATTCCATGTCTCAATGCTTCGAAGTATCGATCGGATCCCTCCCACATCGTAAATCCAGAAGAGATCGAGGTACAACCGATATGACTTATGAGGAAGAACCGATTCAAATTTTAGCTCATGAGGTTAAGCAATTGAGGAATAAGACTATTCCATTGGTTAAAGTTTTATGGAAGAATCACAAAGTAGAGGAAGCAACATGGGAGCGTGAGGAGGTATGAGGAATCAGTATCCCCATCTCTTTTCTTATTGAAATTCGAGGACGAATTTTCTTAAGGGAGGGAGATTTGTAACATCCTCCATGCCGGGTTAGTGATTAATTTGCAAAGTTTCAACATTTGGTGATTTAAGTAAATGATGGAAGAGTTCAATGACCTATTTAAGTTATTTGGTGTAGGATTGAATTATAAAGAAGGAAAATTAAGAGGGAAAAAGAGAATTTAGTAAGTGAAATAATTAAATATTCCTTAAGGTGATTTTATAAATCACGTGGGAAGCATTTGAGATAAACAAGGTTCCAGACATTTCTCTTCTTCTTCTCCAATCGTGAAGCTTGCAAGAAAATGTGAGTTGTCTTCTTTTGGATTAATCTTATGAGTTAAGCATGGGTTTAGTTAATGAAGATTTAGGAAATATTGAGAGAAACAAGGATCCTAGAACTCAAAGAATTGTAAGTTAAGGGAGATTAAAGGTTGGGAGCCATTGAATGAAATCTTATAAAAGGTCATAATAAGAATTAGAAGCTGATTTGACTTGTCATCAAGCTAATTAAGAAGTATGAGGTGATAGAATTAAAATTAGAACAAGTTGGAATTTGAGTAAGATTCTTAAATTCTATATGGATGATTAGTTTTTTTAGTTTTAGAGTATTGAATGGATAATAATTATTTAAGTAAGTGTATGAAAGTTAGAGTATTAAAGGGAGTGAAATATGAATGTTTGAGTTGAAATGAGATGATTTTCGAGCTCAAAATAGGATTTCGGGCTAGGGGAATCGGTACCCATTCAAGGGGAATCGATACCCCCTCAACGAATATGAATTTCCAGAATGTTAGAGGGGAATCGATACCCCAATGGGGAACCGATTCCCCCATATAAAAAAAGAAAGACTAAAACTATTAATTCCTTAAATTGGTAGGCTATTAAAGATAATTTCAAGACATAGACATCTGATAATCATCTTGAAAATTTTGTTTATAGATACTGACCTACACGAGTTCTGGAACAATCTACAAGTAGGATCGATCGAGGAAAGGCAAAGAATATAGTGAGTGCATGCATAGCATAATTATAGAAATACTCAATCTAGACTTGTGATAAGTCTAGATTTTATATCTTGGTACATGTCATATTCTGTATTATGAGACATGACATGAATTCATATAAAATGCATTATATGACATGAATATGCAGGAAAAGTTATGAGCTATGTGAAAAGGTAAGAATTTACATGTCTACGCGATATACTACATGAAATGTAAAAGCCCATGTTATGTAGATGAGAAACTATAGGTATAGTTGGCATGCCAAGGGTAGAGGGTCTACGCGGTCCTTCGGGACAAAATTCTAACGGTCCTTCGGGATATATATATTATGGAACATGTTGAAGTCTGGTGATACACACTTGATCCCTAGCATATGTATATGATCTTAAGGAATTCTATGTGGTCCTTATGGACATTATTATATGGCACTATAGTGCAATTCTACGCGGCACTTCGGTGCATTTATACGAGCTGTGGTGACAGCATAGTGCACAACCTCACAATACTCAGATGTAAATACCTTGATTAAATATAACATTCATCTCATTCATATCATTATGACATTTTCATTACATTGCCTTGTTATTATTATTACATTGCCTCACTAAGTCGATGACTTAGCGTGTGAGTGTTTCACACTTAGGATCCGAGAAAGTAGACGAGACAGGTGAAGCAGCTTGACAGCATTACTCCTGCAACCATCAGATCAGCAACTTAATCAGTAGGGTCATTTTGTTATGTAAATGCAGTTGGCATGTATTAAAGGATTAAATGTGTATGCTCTGAATATTTGGTAAACTTATATTACAATATGTATATTATCGTATTTTCTTAATATAAGTTCAAATATTTTGCTATTATTTATTAAGAGTTGTGTTTTAAAGTCAATGTAGTATCTCTGACTCATATTCGGGTCGGGTACGGGTTGGGATGTTACAGGGGGTTTCCACTGGAATTCCCCACGAACCCTACGGCAATCCATGGTAGGCTCAAGGACAGCTAAAAACTCCATTTTAGCTGTTTCATGGCAAGCCAAAGAGAATAACGACTCATTCAAATTCATATATTAAAAGGGTTATAAATTCAATATTATTCCAAACCAGAACAATCCTCATCAAAATCATCGCGTAACCACAAACTAAAACCCCAATTTGCATAAACTCACTATAGATTACGACAGACAATCATCTGATAACATAAACATGAACAATTCGTTCTTTTCCTTTCTCGTGGCTAATTGGGTTCCTACAATATTAAATTTCAATACCCAAAAAGAAATCTATAAATCATAAAAAATAGTAATGATCGGCAACAAATTTCGAATTGGAACAACAAGATCTCATACATAAACTATATTAAAACTAAAAGAAATGAAATTTGAGAAACAGAGAAAGGAACCAAACCTCCTTCGACGTAAGCCATGAGGAAATTTCCAGGGTCTTCTCCTCCAGAAAGAGGAAGATTATAAAGATGAATACGGTCTTCTAACCGGCGTATTTTTAAACTCTTCATGGACTTTTGACTTTCGGTAGGAAGACTTATTTTGATTGGTTCCTGGAGCTAATATATACGTGTTCAGTTATGATTCGTTGCACTTGTGAAGAATTCTGTACGACCGACACGTGTAACGCATCTTTATTAAGCGTAAAACAATAAAATATTGTGAAAATATATTTATAATATTAATTTAAAATAATCAATTTTATAAAATCATTTATAACTCGTATTAAAAAGACTAAAGGGTTAATAAAAAACATTTACCTTTTTAATAATAATTTAAGATAATATAAGATAATATTTATTTAAAAAATTATAAACAGTATATATGTTTACAGATAAAATTACTTAAGCCCGTATTTTGATAAAGAATAACAATCTAATTTTCTAATAATTCTCAAGTAAATATCTATTCAAATACCCGAATTAAATACACCAGCCCCCCCAGTATGATGTTTTCCCTTTTCCAGTAAACATATACAATATTGTCAATTCTGTTCATACAACAGTGACTGAGTTTCAAAACCATTTACATTATTGGGGCCTGAGATTTGCTGTGAAGACATATAAGAAAAACAAGTATTTGACCCGCTTGTAAATATGCTAGCATTTTCTTGTTGAAACAACATGAAATCATCGTCACTCTGCCTATTTTCCTCGTCCACCATGGAAGCCTCCGTAAATCTGCGGCCATAAAACCTCAAAAAGTTCAACGATTCAACTCTCGGCTGACTTAAAGGAAGCCCACCTTCCAACATCCCAACAACGGTGGCCATGCTCGGCCGAAGTACAGGCTCCTCATGAACGCAGCACAAAGCAGTGCGCACTAATTTCTCCACTTCTTCATTGTTTACTCGCCCTTCCAGTCTCGGATCAGCGAGCTCCATGTACCTGCCTTGCTCGTGCATCTGGAGCGCAAACAGTGGAAAATAAACCAATCTCATTACTGATGACGATGATGATTGTTGGCTCCACCACTGTTGGTTCCGTTGGTTGTATGGCCGTTTGATCTCAACGAGCAGTTTTTTCCTGCCGCTGACCAGTTCAAGCAGTACCATCCCGAAACTGTAAACGTCAGTTTTTTCGGAAATGGCGGAGTTCGTAAGCCATTCGGGCGCAAGGTAGCCTCTAGTGCCTCTCATTGTCGTGAAGAGACTGGATTGTTCCGGTGTTAGCAGCTTCGAGAGCCCGAAATCGGAGATCTTTACCTGGAAATGATTGTGCAAGAGAATGTTTTCCGGTTTAACATCGCAATGAATGATCTTATGTTCACAACCGCCGTGCAAGTATGCGAGCCCACGAGCAGTCCCGAGTGCTATGTCGAACCTCTCTTGCCATGCCAAGGCCGGACCATTGCTGAAGAGGGATCGATCCAATGAGCCTCGGTTCATATACTCGTACACCAAAAACCTTTGTCGCCCATGGGCACAGAATCCTCTCAGTTTAACCAGATTGACATGGTGAACGTTTCCGATTACTGCGATTTCAGTGCAGAACTCTTTTTTGCCTTGATTGCCTGGATTTGTTATCTTCTTGACTGCCACAACAGTTTTATCAGGGAGTGTGCCTTTGTATACAACACCGAAGCCACCTGCTCCGATTTGGGTCTTGAAATTATCAGTGGCTAATTCGAGTTCTTCGTAATTGAACTTCTGGGGCAACCCTGGAATGCTGAACCCACCGAGATCGTCCGAAGCAACCGAGTTTTGGTGGCCTAATTTCATCTCTTCAGATTTGTTGAATTTACATCTTTTCCACCAGAGGAAAACCAGAGCGGCTAAGAGGAAAACGCCGGTGAAAGGTAATAGCACAACGGCAGCCGTGGGGAAATTTTTGCTTCCATTGCTATCACCGTTTCCGCCATTGGAATCTGTTGAAGTTGGTCCAACAAGTACTTTAACATACCCTTGAAGATCATCTTCAACAGTATCGCTTAGTATAATTGAGCCTAATTCATTCTGAAGCACATAACAAGAACCAGAAGAATTGTCGTAGAAAATTCCCAAGCAGGCACAATCGTCCGAGCATAAATCTTGACAAGATGAATACTTTACACCGTTTATTTCAGGATGAGAGTAAATAAGAGAAAAATACTCCATGCCGGAGCCTAGTTTCATATATGAAATATCTGAAGAATTTGACTTAGTAACAGTGACATTATTGGTCGAATCACATGCAATGGGAAGAGAATAAGAAGGATTATCCGGTAAACAGCCACCGATATTTTGTGAAGCTGAATGAAAATCAAAGGGACAGAACATGCGGGTGCATTCGAGGTTGAATCAGTGGTGCATAATTCCAGTTTGCCACAACTGGTTGGAATTTGACAGCCATTAATGGGGCCAACAAATTCTTGAACCCATCCGCCACTAAAACTACTTACAGAAAACTGACCTGAAACACCCAGCTTGGCAATCCGAAAGCTGGTCGTCGACAAGTTAACCCTTATTACAACAACCGATCCATTTCGACCCAAGAGATAAAGTCCTGTTTCGTTGATTGCCATGTACTCGACAACATCATTCGAGTTCATATAAGCCTTGGTATCCATAGATAGTTTCCAATATGTCTGTTGATGCCATTGCAATATTGCATCAGAGCCGGTAACCATGAATCTGTAATCACCGGTCGACAAGTTACTTCCCGAGGCAGCATTCGACAGGTTCGCCCCAACGTAGAGCCGTTGTCCGAACACGATTGTATCCGTCGGATAATCGAAGCTTTCCCAAAGAGAACCGTTGGATTGATCGAGCAAAACAAGATTTCCCATATCAGTCAACGTTAAGGCACGAACCGTGGCTTGTAACTCTGGGGTTGACCATTTGAGAACACCATCTGAACCGGTAACGCTAATCCCTTCCCCGGTAAGATCCATTTCTCCGGAGCTGGAGATCGGAGAATCATGATTGGCTGACCAATGACGGTGTTGGATTCTACATGTATGATACACAGGTAAAAGCTGGTTTCCTGAGTTTCGGGATTGTAGATGGAAGCTTTGAATGTTCCATTCCGGGAGAACAAGAAGGCGCCATTGTTGTCAATGAAACTAAAGTGCGAAGCAGTGAAGTTTGGGTAGATAAATTCAGAAAAAGAAGCCCCAGAGACAGAAAAAGGAAAGAAATTAAGGAAAGCGATGAAGAAGAAGAAGAAGAACAAGGATGAGGATCCCATTAGAAGTGGAGAAAAGAAGATAATAACCTTGTTGATAACAATGGCGGAGCATGCGCTTGCCTGTGGTTTTTGTTTATTTGTTTTTAATTATCCGGTTGTTGGTGCTCAACTCAGCAGGCATTGACCAAGGGATTTGACATACAAGATTAATAAAAGTAAAATCATTTCATTGAAGATAACATCAACTGGGGATGTAAGATGTGTGAAACATTTGGTGGCGGTCAAAACTACATAAACTGTTTTCATCACTAATGCGTATTCCCATGAGCTGATATACAACAGGTGTCATATACATAGAGATAAATAATTATAAAATTTTCAACACTTGAACCCATATTAAAATCCCACCTGTTGTATTTAAATCCCCTCACCATCCACATTGATTACATTTTTCTTACCTGTATTATTCTTTTGATTGTTTCTTAACCCCATTGTTATAATAATAGCCAATTACATTTACATCTATAGGGAGGTTGAGAGGGAGCAAATAGAAAATAAAAGAAAAATAACCTAATACCGAGTAATTCAGTGTCTATTCATTCTACAATCATCCATAATTCAGCTGGCCTCCTATAGTTATATATATATATATATATATATATATATATATATATATATATATATATATAATCACTTTTTAAATCTCAATAACTAATTAAACTCTGGTTACAAAGCACTTTATGATAATTAAAAATATAATATTAAAATTTATTCTTAATCATTTTCTCATTTCATTATATGTGATTGTATCGAGTTAATACTTTAAAAATGCGTCACAACATATTAAATTATAAATTATTAAAAATTAATATATATATATATATCTTATTTAGATATGACACACACATGTTCTCAAAGATTTAGTTTCCGTTTGGCATGGTTTTTTAAAATCACTTTTAGTTAAAAAGTTCATTTTAACTACAAAATCAATATCAAACGGGTAAAAAATAAAAAAAATTGCGATAAAAACGGTGGTTTCAAACCAACCGCAAAAGCAAGAATTTATAGTTTTTTCATTCTTAATTTTGCGTTGTGAGTAAATTATAATTTTATCCTTATTAATGTATGAGCTTCACTCAATTATGTACTTACATTTTATTTAATAATTAATATTAACATTCTTAAAAGTATTTTATTACTTAATAATTTATTAATCATTTAAAAGAAATAAAATTCATGGTTTATATATTAAAATATTAATAAAATATTTTATATCCACATGTTAAAAAGTATTGATAATATATTTTAATAAAATATTTATTTATAAAAATATTATTAAGGAGATATTTTAAAATATTTTTTTTATTTTTATTTTAATTTAAGTGATATATTTATATCATAGTATTAATAAGTGTAAATATAATTTAAATTTTATATTTTAATTTATAACATAATGTCTATAATTGATATTTATATTTTTAAACTCACTTTTTAACAACAATCTCTTTTTAATTTATAACTTAATGTCTATAATGGACATTATATCATTTTATTATAGTTAAATTTTAAACTGCACTTTTAAACATCACTTTTAAAAGTTCTTTTTTACCGCACTCTTAAAAGTCACTTTTCAAAAGTTCTGTCAAACTGGTCCTAGTAAGGTGTATAATATATATATTTCTAATATTTAAAATTTTTAATAATTTATAATTATCTTTTATAATTTGTGATATACTTTTATTTTTTTTCTAAATCTTTTAATAGTGTTTAGAATTTTTAATATATTTTTAAATTTATTTAGTACTAACTTTTTAAATTTATTTTTTAATTTTTTATATTTTAAATATAAATATTTTTAAAAAAATCAAATAAGCCATTGAAATTTCAATAAAAATCAATTTGGACCTTGAACTC